ATTAACTTTAATAATTAATCACCATTGATTAATCCCCATTGATTAATCCCTTTTATTATTTTCCATTGATTAATCCCCAATAATTAATCGCCATTATTAATCTATATTGATTAACCCCATTAATCCCAACTGATTAATCCCCCTTGATAAATCCGCAATAATTAATAGCCATTATTAATCAATTTTGATTAATCCCCGTTGATTAATCCCGATTGATTAATCCCCAATAATTAATCGCCTTTATTAATCTATATTGATTAATCCCCATTAATTCCTGTTGATTCATCCCCAATAATTAATCGGTATTATTCTTTTCCATTGATTAATCCCCATTGATTAATCCCCGTTGATTAATCCCCAATAATCCTATTAATTGATCCCCATGAATTAACCCCATTCATAACCATCATTCCCTATTAATTGACCCCATTAATCACCACTAATTAATCTCCTTTAACCTCTATTAATTCAGCCCCATTGATCAGTCCCCATTATTCCCCTTTAATCTTACATTTACTAACCCTCAAATAAATTAATACATCATTAATTACCCTTATTAATTAGTCCTTCATTAATTAACCCCCTTATGAATCCATACATTATTTAATTCCTTATTAATCCTCCATTAATTAATCCCTTTATCATTAATCCTGTCATTATTAAACCGCTTATTAATTAATCCATTAATTAACCCCTTTATTTATTAATGGACCCTTGACCCCCCTTTGCCCCCATTTCCCCCTCATTATGCTCATTAATTACCCCTTTATTATCCCCCTTATTAGGGCTCTTATTGATTAATCCCTTCTTTGAATACCCCTTCATTAACTTCTTATTATTTAGCCCTCATTAATTAAAAACCTTTAACCCCTTATTAATTAACCATTCATTAACCCCCATTAACCCCCTTATTAATTAACCCTTCATTAATTAACCCCCATTAACCCCCTTAATAATTAACCCTTCATTCATTAACCCCCATTAACCCCCTTATTAATTAACCCTTCATTAACCCCCATTAACCCCCTTATTAATTAACCCTTCATTCATTAACCCCCATTAACCCCCTTAATAATTAACCCTTCATTCATTAACCCCCATTAACCCCCTTATTAATTAACCCTTCATTCAGTAACCCCCATTAACCCCCTTAATAATTAACCCTTCATTTATTAACCCCCATTAACCCCCTTATTAATTAATCATTCAGTAACCCCCATTAACCACCTTAATAATTAACCCTTCATTCATTAACCCACATTAACCCCCTTATTAATTAACCCTTCATTCATTAACCCACATTAACCCCCTTATTAATTAATCATTCATTAACCCCCATTTACCCCCTTATTAATTAACCCTTCATTCATTAACTCACATTAACCCCCTTATTAATTAATCATTCATTAACCCCCATTAACCCCCTTAATAATTAACCCTTCATTCATTAACCCACATTAACCCCCTTATTAATTAATCATTCATTAACCCCCATTAACCCCCTTATTAATTAACCCTTCATTCATTAACCCACATTAACCCCCTTATTAATTAATCATTCATTAACCCCCATTAATCCCCTTATTAATTAACCCTTCATTCATTAACCCCCATTAACCCCATTATTAGTCAACCCCTTCATTAATTACCTTATTAATCCCCATATTAATTAACCCTTCATTAATTAAACCCCTCATTAGTAACCCCTTCTTTAATACCATTAACCCCCTCTTTAAGCCACTTTAATTACCTCCCATTAACCCCCTTCTTAACCCTTCATTAATTAACCCCTTATGAATTAAACTTACATTAATCACCCCCATTATCCCCCTCATTAACCCCTTCATTAATTAACCCCCATTAACGCCCTTATAAACCTTTCATCAATCAATTAACCCCATTAACCCCCTTATTAATTCACCCTTCATTAATTACCCCCATTCCCCCCTTTAACCCCGATTACCCCACAAATCACCCCGATCACGTCACGAATCCCCCCGATTACGTCACTAATTACTCTAATTACGTCCATAACCACCGTAATTACGTCATAACCCCATTAATTACCTCATTAATTACTCCTTTCATCATAAATAAGCCGCTCCTCCCCCGTTTACCTCACGCCGTCCACCAGAGGGCGCCGCCGCCTTTCCCGCGCTCCCGCGTCACGTGACGCCGCCGCTTACTCCCCCCCCCCACTTTCGCCCCGCTTATCCATGATTAATCCCCATTGATTGATCCCCGTTGATTAATCCCCATTAATCCCCCTTGATTAGTCCCCAATAATTAATCGCCATTATTCATCCCTATTGATTAATCCCCAATGATCACTCCCCATGTATTACTCCCCATCGATTAATCGCCATTAACCCCCCATAATTGATCCCCATTGATTAATCCCTGTTAATCAATCGCCATTTCTCCCCATTGATGAATCCCCATCAAATGCCTTCCATTAAGGCTCATTTATTAATTCCCATAAATTAATCCACATTAATTCTCATTAATTATTCTCCATTAATTAATCCCCATTGATTGCTCCTCATCAATTAATCGCCATTAATTAATCCCCATGGATTAATGTCCATTGGTTAATCCCTTTATCATTAATCCTTCATTATTTAATCTCTTATTAATCCATTAATTAACCCCCTTGTTAATTAATGACCCCTCGACTGCCCTTTGCCCCCATTTCTCCCTATTATCTCCTTCATTAATTACCCCTTTATTATCTCCTTATTAGGTTTCTTATTAATTAATCCATTAAATACCCCTTCATTAACCCCTTATTATTTAGCCCTCATTAATTAAAAACCTTTAACCCCTTATTAATTAACCGATCATTAACCCCCATTAACCCACTTATTAATTAACCCTTCAATCATTAACCCCCATTAACCCCCTTAATAATTAATCCTTCATTCATTAACCCCCAATAACCCCATTATTAATTAACCCTTCACTCAATACCCCCATTAACCCCCTTATTAATTAACCATTCATTCATTAACCCCCATTAACCCCATTATTAGTCAACCCCTTCATTAATTACCTCATTAATCCCCATATTAATGAACCCTTCATTAATTAAACCGCTCATTAATTAACCCCTTCTTTAATCCCATTGACCCCCTTTTAAACCCCATTAATTACCTCACATTAACCCCCTTAGTAACCCTTCATTAATTAACCCCTTCTTAATTACTTTTCATTAATCACCCCCATTATCCCCTTCATTAACCCCTTCATTAATTAACCCCCATTAACGCCCTTATAAACCCTTCATCAATCAATTAACCCCATTAACCCCCTTATTAATTCACCCTTCATTAATCACCCCCATTCCCCCCTTTAACCCCGATTACCCCACAAATCACCCCGATCACGTCACGAATCCCCCCGATTACGTCACTAATCACTCTAATTACGTCCATAACCACCGTAATTACGTCATAACCCCATTAATTACCTCATTAATTACTCCTTTCATCATTAATAAGCCGCTCCTCCCCCGTTTACCTCACGCCGTCCACCAGAGGTCGCCGCCGCTTTTCCCGCGCTCCCGCGTCACGTGACGCCGCCGCTTCCTTCCCCCCCCCTTTCGCCCCGCTTATCCATGATTAATCCCCATTGATTGATCCCCGTTGATTAATCCCCATTAATTAATCGCCATTATTAATCCATATTGATTGATCCCCGTTGATTAATCCCCCTTGATTAGTCCCCAATAATTAATCGCCATTATTAATCCGTATTGATTAATCCCCAATGATCACTCCCCATGTATTACTCCCCATCAATTAATCGCCATTAATCCCCCATAATTGATCCCCATTGATTAATCCCTGTTAATTAATCGCCATTTCTCCCCACTGATGAATCCCAATCAAATGCCTTCCATTAAGGCTCATTTATTAATTCCCATTAATTAATCCACATTAATTCTCATTAATTATTCGCCATTAATTAATCCCCATTGATTGCTCCCCATCAATTAATCGCCATTAATTAATCCCCATGGATTAATGTCCATTGGTTAATCCCTTTACCATTAATCCTTCATTAATCTCTTATTAATCCATTAATTAACCCCCTTGTTAATTAATGACCCCTCGACTGCCCTTTGCCCCCATTTCTCCCTATTAACTCCTTCATTAATTACCCCTTTATTATCTCCTTATTAGGTTTCTTATTAATTAATCCATAAAATACCCCTTCATTAACCCCTTATTATTTAGCCCTCATTAATTAAAAACCTTTAACTCCTTATTAATTAACCATTCATTAACCCCCATTAACTCCCTGATTAATTAACCATTCATTCATTAACCCCCATTAACCCTATTATTAGTCAATCCCTTCATTAATTACCTCATTAATCCCCATATTAATGAACCCTTCATTAATTAAACCCCTCATTAATTTACCCCTTCTTTAATCCCATTGACCCCCTTTTAATCTCCATTGATTACCTCACATTAACCCCCTTAGTAACCCTTCATTAATTAACCCCTTCTTAATTACCTTTCATTAATCACCCCCATTATCCCCCTCATTAACCCCTTCATTAATTAACCCCCATTAACGCCCTTATAAACCTTTCATCAATCAATTAACCCCATTAACCCCCTTATTAATTCACCCTTCATTAATTACCCCCATTCCCCCCTTTAACCCCGATTACCCCACAAATCACCCCGATCACGTCACGAATCCCCCCGATTACGTCACTAATTACTCTAATTACGTCCATAACCACCGTAATTACGTCATAACCCCATTAATTACCTCATTAATTACTCCTTTCATCATTAATAAGCCGCTCCTCCCCCGTTTACCTCACGCCGTCCACCAGAGGTCGCCGCCGCTTTTCCCGCGCTCCCGCGTCACGTGACGCCGCCGCTTCCTCCCCCCCTTCGCCCCGCCCACCCAACCCCAGAGCGCAACCGGAAGTCGCGGCGGCGCCGTCACTTCCGGGTGCGGCCCGGACCCCCCGCTCAATGGCGCTCAGCATCGATAGGGACGCGCTCTACCGGCGGCTACGGCGACTCTATGGCGCATGGGAGGTACGCTATGGGGTGCTATGGGGCGCTATGGGGCGCTATGGGGTGATATAGGGGGGGCTATGGGGGTCCGGAGCGGAAAACGGGGTTGGGGGCGGGAAGAGTGGTGACGGGGGGGGGGGGGGGGTAATGGCGCGCTATGGGATCGTGAGGTAACGAGACCTAAAGGGGGGAGGTATCGGGGTCTGTGGGGCGCTGTGGGGTTGTAGAGGGGTCTGTGGGGATCTATGGGGCGCTGTGGGTGTCTGTGGGGCGCTATGGGGATCTGTGGGGCGTTGTGGGGATCTGTGGGGCGCTATGGGGGGTTATGGCGGGCTATGGAGGGCTATGAGGGGAATGAGGGCTAAAGTGGCGGGCTATAGAGGTCTGTGGGGGTCTATGGGGCTCTATGGGAGGTTATGGGGTTCTGTGGGGGGCTATGAGGGGAGAGAGGCCTAAAGTGCCCGGCTGTAGAGGCCTGTGGGGGTCTATGGGTTTCTATGGGGCTCTATGGGGGTCTATGTGGCTCTATGGGGTTATGTGGGGCTCTGTGGGGTTCTATGGGGGTCTGTGAGGGGCTATGGGGCTCTATGGGGGGGGAAAGCATAAAGGGAGGGCTATGGGGGTCTGTGGGTTTCTATGGGGGTCTATGGGTGGCTATGGGGTCTCTATGGGTCTCTATGGGGTCTCTATGGGTCCCTATGGGTCTGACGCCCCCCTTTGTCCCCCAGAGGGGAGAGGAGGAGCTGGGGGGGGTCGACGCCATCGTGGTGGCCGTGGGGGTGGACGAGGAGATCGTGTACGCCAAATCCACAGCGCTGCAGGTGAGATCTGGGCACAGAACGGGACTTTTTGGGCAAAAACGGGCGTTTCGGGGGGAAAAATGGGTATTTTGGGGGAAAAATTGGTATTTTGGGGGGGAAATGATATTTTAGGGGAAAACTGTGATTTTGAGGGGAAAATGGCATTTTGTGAGGGAAAAATGGAATTTTGGGGGTGAAAATGGCATTTTGTGAGGGAAAAATGGAACTTTGGGGGTGAAAATGGCATTTTGTGAGGGAAAAATGGAATTTTGGGGGTGAAAATGGCATTTTGTGAGGGAAAAATGGAATTTTGGGGGTGAAAATGGCATTTTGTGAGGGAAAAATGGCATTTTGGGGGTGAAAATGGCATTTTGAGGGGTGGAAATGGCATTTTGAGAGGAAAAAACGGCATTTTGCGGGGAAAAATGTCATTTTGGGAAAAACATTATTTTGTGCGGAAAATGGCATTTTGTGAAGGAAAAAAGGCATTTTTTGGGGTGAAAATGGCATTTTATGAGGGAAAATGGTATTTTGGGAGGGAAAAATGGCATTTTTTGGGGGAAAAATGTCATTTTGGGGAAAACATCATTTTGGGGGGGGGAAATGGCAATTTTGAGGGGAAAATGGCATTTTGTGAGGGAAAAATGGAATTTTGGGGGTGAAAATGGCAGTTTAAGGGGGGAAAATGGCATTTTGTGAGGGGGGAATGGAATGTTGGGGGCAAAAATGGGATTTTTTGTGGGGGAAATGGCATTTTGGGAGGAAAAATGGCTGTTTTTGAGGGAAAATTGCATTTTTGGGGGGAAAATGGCATTTTTGGGGTGAAAAAAATGGCATTTTGTGAGGGAAAAATGGCATTTTAGCAGGTGGAAATGGCATTTTGAGGGGAAAAAATGGCATTTTGGGAGGGAAAATGGTATTTTTGGGGGAGAAATGGTATTTTGTGTGGAAAAAATAGCATTTTTGGGGGGAAAAAGGCATTTTTTGAGGGGGGAATGTAATTTTGGGGGCAAAAATTGCTTTTTTTGCTGGAAAATGGCATTTTTGGGGGGAAAATGGTATTTTTTGGGGGGGGAATGGCGTTTTTGGGGTGAAAAAAATGGCATTTTGTGAGGGAAAAATGGCATTTTTTGGGGTAAAATGGCATTTTGAGGGGAAAAAATGGCATTTTGGGAGGGAAAATGGTATTTTTGAGGGGAAAATGGCATTTTTTGGGGAGAAATGGAATTTTGTGGGGAAAAAATAGAATTTTTTGAGGGAAAATGGCATTTTTTGAAAGGGGAATGGAATTTTGGGGGCAAAAATGGTATTTTTTGGGAGGAAAATGGCTTTTTTTGAGGGAAAATGGCATTTTTTGGGAGAAAATGGTATTTTTGGGGGGGAAAATGGCATTTTTGAAGGGAAAATGGAATTTTTTGGGGGGAAAATGGCATTTTTTGGGTGAAAAAATGGCATTTTGTGAGGGAAAAATGGCATTTTAAGGGGGGGAAATGGCATTTTTGGGGCAAAAATGTCATTTTTGGATAGGAAAATGGAATTTTGGGGGAAAAATGGCGTTTTGGGGAGGGGAAATTGCATTTTGGGGTGGAAATGGCATTTTTTGGAGAAAAAATGTCATTTTTGGGGTGAAAATGGCGTTTTGAGGGGGAAAATGGCATTTTGGGTGGGAAATGGCTTTTTTGGGAGAAAAATGGCTTTTTTTGGGGGGAAAAATGGCATTTGGGGGGGAAATTGTCATTTTGGGAGGAAAAATGCCATTTTGGGGCAATAAATGTCATTTTACAGAGAAATTTGCATTTTGGGGGGGAATCATTGTCATTTGGGGCAAAATCTCATTTTTTGGGGGGAAATGGAATTTTGGGGCAAAAAAATCGTCATTTTTGGGGGGAAAAATGTCATTTTGGGACAAAAAATGTATTTTATGGAAAAAATCATCATTTTGGGGCAAAAAACGTCATTTTGGGGGGGAAATGGCTTTTTTTGGGAGGGAAATAGTCATTTTGGGGCAAAAATAGTCATTTTGGGGAGGAAATTGTCATTTTTGGGGGGGGAAATGTCATTTTGGGCCAGAAAATCGTCATTTTGGTTGGAAAAACGTCATTTTCGGGCAAAAAAAGGTAATTTTGGAATAAAAATGGGCATTTGGGTGCAAAAAAAAGGTCATTTTGGGGCAAAAAACATTTTGGGGTGGAAAAATGTCATTTTGGGGGGGGGAAATGTCATTTTGGGGCAATAAAAGAAGGTTTTGGGCAAACCCCACCACTTTGGGAGGAGAAACACTGGATTTGGGCCAAAAGCACCAGGTTTTGGGGGAAAAACACCCAGTTTTGGGCAAAACCCACCACTTTGGGGGGAAAACCAGCAGTTTTGGGCAAAACCCTATCTTTTTGGGAGGAAAAACACCCGGTTTGGGCCCCATTTCCTCCATTTTGGGCCCATTTCCCCAGTTTTGGGTCCATTCCCCCCCATTTTGGGTCCATTCCAGCCCATTTTGGGCCCATTTTAACCCATTTTGGGCCCATTTCAACCAATTTTGGGTCCATTTTTAACGCATTTTGGGTCCATTTTAACCCATTTTGGGCCCATTTTAACCCATTTTGGGTCCCTTTCCCCCATTTTGGGTCAATTCCAGCCCATTTTGGGTCCATTTACCCCATTTTGGGCCCATTTTAACCCATTTTTGGTCCATTTCCACCATTTTGGGTCCATTTTAACCCATTTTGGGCCCATTTTAACCCATTTTGGGCCCATTTTACCCCATTTTGGGTCCATTTTAACCCATTTTGGTCCATTTTAACCCATTTTGGGCCCATTTTAACCCATTTTGGGTCCATTTTAACCCATTTTAGGTCCATTTTAACCCATTTTGGGCCCATTTTAACCCATTTTGGTCCATTTCCCATTGCAGACGTGGCTCTTTGGCTATGAGCTCACCGACACCATCCTGGTGCTCTGTGCCCAGCGCATCCTGCTCCTGGCCAGTAGGAAGAAGGTGGAGTTCCTCAAGCAATTGGTGCCCCCCAAAGGGACCGAGGGGGGCAATGGGGTCCCCAGCATCAGCCTGCTCGTCAGGGAGAAGGTAAGGGGCTCTATGGGGTTTCTATGGGGGTCTGTGGGGTTCTATGGGGCTCTATGGGGTGGGATATAGGGGGTAATGGGGGGGTCTATGGGGGGTTCTCAATGGAGGGCAATGGGGAGGGTATGGGGGGGTCTCAGTGGGTGGTTATGGTGATGATGGGGTCTCCATGGCGATGATGGGGTCTCCGTAGCATCAATGGGGTCTCCATGGTAACGATGGGGTCTCTATGGTTTTAGTGGGGTCTCCATGGTGACAGTGGTGTCTCCATAGCATCAATGGGGTCTCTATGGTTTCAATGGGGTCTCCATAGCATTCATGGCGTTTCCAAGGTGATAATGGCGTCTCCATAGCAACAATGGGGTCTCCATGGCAACAGTGGCATCCCCATATCATCAATGGGGTCTCCATAGTGACCTATGGTCTCTATGGTTTCAATGGGGTCTCCATGGTTTCAATGGGGTGTCTATGGTACCTATGTGGTCTCCATGGTAACGATGGCATCTCTATGGTTTCAATGGGGTGTCTATGGTACCTATGTGGTCTCCATGGTAACGATGGCATCTCTATGGTTTCAATGGGGTGTCTATGGTACCTATGTGGTTTCCATGGTAACGATGGCATCTCTATGGTTTCAATGGGGTGTCTATGGTACCTATGTGGTTTCTATGGTAACGATGGCATCTCTATGGTTTCAATGGGGTGTCTATGGTACCTATGTGGTTTCCATGGTAACGATGGCATCTCTATGGTTTCAATGGGGTGTCTATGGTACCTATGTGGTTTCTATGGTAACGATGGCATCTCTATGGTTTCAATGGGGTGTCTATGGTACCTATGTGGTTTCCATGGTAACGATGGCATCTCTATGGTTTCAATGGGGTGTCTATGGTACCTATGTGGTTTCCATGGTAACGATGGCATCCCTATGGTTTCAATGGGGTGTCTATGTGGTTTCTATGGTAACGATGGCATCCCTATGGTTTCAATGGGGTGTCTATGGTACCTATGTGGTTTCCATGGTAACGATGGGATCTCTATGGTTTCAATGGGGTGTCTATGGTATCTATGTGGTCTCCATGGTAACGATGGCATCTCTATGGTTTCAATGGGGTGTCTATGGTACCTATGTGGTTTCCATGGTAACAATGGCATCTCTATGGTTTCAATGGGGTGTCTATGGTACCTATGTGGTTTCTATGGTAACGATGGCATCTCTATGGTTTCAATGGGGTGTCTATGGTATCTATGTGGTTTCTATGGTAACGATGGCATCTCTATGGTTTCAATGGGGTGTCTATGGTACCTATGTGGTTTCCATGGTAACGATGGAGTCTCTATGGTTTCAATGGGGTGTCTATGGTACCTATGTGGTCTCCATGGTAACGATGGCATCTCTATGGTTTCAATGGGGTGTCTATGGTACCCATGTGGTTTCCATGGTAACGATGGAGTCTCTATGGTTTCAATGGGGTGTCTATGGTATCTATGTGGTTTCCATGGTAACGATGGCATCTCTATGGTTTCAATGGGGTGTCTATGGTACCTATGTGGTCTCCATGGTAACGATGGCATCTCTATGGTTTCAATGGGGTGTCTATGGTACCTATGTGGTTTCCATGGTAACGATGGCATCTCTATGGTTTCAATGGGGTGTCTATGGTACCTATGTGGTTTCCATGGTAACGATGGCATCTCTATCCTTTCAATGGGGTCTCCATGGTAACGATGGCGTCTCCATAGCATCCATGGGGTCTCCATAGCATCCATGGGGTCTCCATAGCATCAATGGTGTCTCCATGGTAACGATGGGGTCTCTACACTTTCAACTGGGTCTCTATGGCGATGATGGGGTCTCCATGGTACCCATGTGGTCTCCATGGCGACGATGCCGTCTCCATAGCAACCCCCCCCCTTGTCCCCCCCATAGACGGAGAGCAACCAGGCCAACTTTGAGCGGCTGCTGGAGGCCCTGCGGGGCAGCCGGGGGGGGAAGCGCTTGGGGGTCTTCGCCAAGGACCAGTTCCCAGGGGACTTCCTTAGGGCCTGGAACGAGTGCCTCAGTAAGGAGCCCTTCGAGAAGGTCAGTGGGGGGCAATGGGGGGCAGTGGGAGTCAATGGGGGCAATGGGGGTCAATGGGGGGCAATGGGGTCAATGGGGTGTCCATGGGGTCAATGGGACCATCAGGGCACAGATGGGGTATCCATGGTGTCAATGCAGTCTCCATGGTAACGATGGGGTCTCCATAGCATCAATGGGGTCTCTATGGTTTCAATGGGGTCTCCATGGTACCGATGGGGTCTCCATAGCATCAATGGGGTCTCCATAGCATCAATGGGCTGTCTATAGAATCCATGGGGTTGCCATGGCAACTATAGGTTCTCTATAGCATCAATGGCATCTCCATGGTAACGATGGCGTCTCTATGGTTTCAGTGGGCTCTCTATGGTACCCATGTGGTCTCCATAGCATCAATGGGGTCTCCATGGTAATGATGGGGTCTCTATGGTTTCAGTGGGGTCTCTATGGTACGCATGTGGTCTCCATGGAAACAATGTCATCTCTATGGCATCAATGGGGTCTCCATAGCATCAATGGGGTCTCCATGACATCGATGGGGTCTCTATGGTACCCATGTGGTCTCCATGGTAACAATGGCATCTCCATAGCATCAATGGGGTCTCCATGGTAACGATGGGGTCTGCATGGTACCCATGTGGTCTCCATGGTAACAGTGGTGTCTCCATAGCATCAATGGGGTCTCTATGGTACCCACGTGGTCTCCATGGTACCAATGGGCTCTCCATGGTACCAATGGGGTCTCTATGGCACCAATGGCGTCTCCATGGCAACGATGGGGTCTCCATAGCATCAATGGCGTCTCTATGGTACCCATGTGGTCTCCATGGTAACGATGGGGTCTCCATAGCATCAATGGCGTCTCTATGGTTTCAATGGGGTCCCTATGGTCCCCACGTGGTCTCCATGGCAACCAATGGCGTCTCCATGGCAACCATGGCGTCTCCCCATTGGCTGCAGGTGGACATCAGCGCGGCCGTGGCCTACACGATGGCGGCCAAGGAGGAGGGGGAGGTGCAGCTGATGCGCAGGGCGGCCGCCATCACCTCCGAGCTCTTCAGCAAGTTCTTCAAGGAGAGGGTCATGGAGATCGTGGATGCAGATGAGGTGGGACCCCAAAACGACCCAAAATGAGCCAAAAATGGGCATTTTCGGACCAAAAATGCACCCCAGGGCCAAAAAACAGCAATTTTCAGCACCAAAATACACCTTAGGGCGAAAAAACGGCGAGTTTCAGCATAAAAATAGCAAGTTTTAGGCCAGAAATAGAGGTCAGGACCCAAAAACAGCGAGTTTCAGCCCCAAAATAGCGAGTTTCACCCCAAAACAGAGCTTTTCACCCCAAAAATAAACTCAGGAACCCAAAACCAGCGCTTTTCATCCCAAAAATACACTCAGGACCCCCAAAATAGTGCGTTTCAGCCCCAAAACACACCCACACCCCCATGGTTTTCCCCCATTTTTCCCCAAAGCCCCCCATTTTCATCCCCAAAAGCCCCATTTTTCACCCATTTTTCCCCCAAAATCCCCATTTTTTGACCCAAAACCCCCATTTTTCACACATTTTCCCCCAAAATCCCCATTTTTTCACCCATTTCCCCCAAAATCCCCATTTTTTGACCCAAAATCCCCATTTTTTCACCCATTTTCCCCCAAAATCCCCATTTTTTGACCCAAAATCCCCATTTTTTCACCAATTTTCCCCCAAAATCCCCATTTTTTGACCCAAAACCACCATTTTTTGCCCATTTTTCCCCAAAATTGCTGTTTCTCCCCCATTTTTCCCCAAAACCTCTGTTTTTTCCCCCATTTTTACCCAAAACCCCCATTTTTCGCCCATTTTTACCCAAAATCCCCATTTTTTTACCCCAAATCCCCATTTTTTGACCCAAAACCCCCATTTTCTCCCCATTTTCCCCAAAACCCGTTTTTTCCCCCCATTTTTCCCCAAAATCCCTGTTTTTCCCCCATTTTTCCCCAAAATCCCTGTTTTTAGCCCATTTTGACCCAACCCCCGCTGTTCCCCCCATGCAGAAGGTCCGTCACTGCAAGCTGGCCGAGGCCGTGGAGCAGGCCCTGGAGGACAAACGCTTCCTGGGGGGGGCCGACCCCGGCGCCGTGGAGCTCTGCTACCCCCCCATCATCCAGAGCGGGGGCCACTACAGCCTCAAGTTCAGCGTCGTCAGGTGAGCCTATGGGGCAGACCCATAGATTCCATGGGGCAGACCCATAGATACCATAGGGCAGCTCCATAGCAGTGGAGCTCTGCTACCCCCCCATCATCCAGAGCGGGGGCCACTACAGCCTCAAGTTCAGCGTCGTCAGGTGAGCCTATGGGGCAGACCCATAGATTCCATGGGGCAGACCCATAGGTCCCATAGGGCAGCTCCATAGCAGTGGAGCTCTGCTACCCCCCCATCATCCAGAGCGGGGGCCACTACAGCCTCAAGTTCAGCGTCGTCAGGTGAGCCTATGGGGCAGACCCACACATTCCGTGGGGCAGATCCATAGATTCTATGGGGCAGACCCATCGATTCCATGGGGCAGACCCACACATTCCATGGGGCAGACCCACACATTCTATGGGGCAGACCCATAGATTCCATGGGGCAGACCCACACATTCTATGGGGCAGACCCATAGATTCCATGGGGCAGACCCATAGATTCCGTGGGGCAGACCCACACATTCTATGGGGCAGACCCACACATTCTATGGGGCAGACCCATAGATTCCGTGGGGCAGACCCATAGGGCAGACCCATAGATTCCGTGGGCAGACCCATAGATTCCATGGGGCAGACCCATAGATTCTGTGGGTCAGCCCCATGGATTCTATGCCTCAGCCCCATGGATTCCATGCCTCAGCCCCATGGATTCTATGGCTCAGCCCCATGGATTCCATGGCTGAGCCCCACATCCCCCTCTCCCCCCCCCAGGGACC